GAGTTGGCTGGGAGCACTGCAGCTTGAGGATTGGCTGCACATCAGTTGGCATGTGTTCAGCAATGTGCTGTCACAATATCACAATGTGCATCACTTGCTTTGCATATTCTATTATTTTCCCTTCCTTTTCTGTCCTATTAAACTATGTTTATCCCAACCCATGAGTTTTTTTTTTTTTTTTTTTTTTTTTTTGTCCTGATTCTTCCCCCATCCCACTGCAGAGGGCAGAGTGAGCCAAGTTTAAGTCACAACATAGTCCCATATTGCCAGTGCAAAAGTCTAACAATGGAAGCTAACAGTAGTCTACCGTGGCCTGAACAATCATGCAGCTGCTGACTACTGTCATGCTAGAATTCCAGTATGAGCTGGAGTTGAAGGTAGCCAAACAGTGTAACACAACTGATACTGCTAACATGCTTTTCTCAATCCCTTTGGCAGCAGAGTGCAGGTCACAGCTTGCTTTCATGTAGATGGCTTTCCAGTATACCTGAAACTGACATGGTGGAAACCATGTGACACATGCCATTGACCAAAATACTATCTTTGGCCTTGGAAAGCAAGTTTTACAATGACAGGACACCCTTGAAAGAATTCAGTCAACAGGACACATTTTCAAAACAACCTCATAATCACCTGGGTCAAGAAGCATGACATTGATGAGATGTATCACATCCCCTATCATGCACCAGCCTCTGGGAAAATTGAATGATATAAAGTAGTTAAAAACTGCACCAAGACCAATGAATGCTTGGACATTCAAGCATTGGATACAAATTTAGCAGAAGCCACTTGGCTAGTTTACACTACAAGATCTGAGTTGACCTGGCCCTGCTCAGTCAAAACCCCTGGGCACTGTGGAAGGAGACAAGGTCCCCACAGTACATAAAAAAAGTCTGGGTTATTACTTCCTTGGGAAAGGGCAAACCTACTCATGAGATTGTTTTGCTCGAGGACATGGGTGCACTTGGTGGGTAATGTAGAAGGATGGGCAAGCCCAATGTGTACCTTGAGGTGCTTCAATTCTGCGTGAAAATAGCTCATGATTTGAGTTGTATGTTGTCAGTGTTACATGATGCTTTATGTCACTACTGCTGTGGCTACCTTATGTCAAAGGTGTCAAATATTAAGCAGGTACCTCTTACTGATAGCCAGGCTAGAAGCAAGAGGAGGAATTCATTACAGAGTTAAATGTTATGGCCTAGTCCAAAGGGACCAGGAGTGGAGACTGTAATGGCTATATCTTTAAATTGTTGTAATTCACGATTTGAGTTGCATGTTATAGGAAGTACCACAGCAGAAACCACTTCAGCCAATGAAGAACATCTCAAGAAGCAGTGCAAGTGAAGCAGGGTCCAAACTTGAGCTGCTTTTGGTGTCCTCTCCTGTCCTGAGTGAATACTTTAACAGATAAAGCCTGAAGTCATAGAACAAATGCACTCAATGAATATTTTATGAATATGTATGGACTTTTTACAAACATTTTACAGGGGAAGGGGTGGTTAATGAGGATGTATTGTGTGTGTGGGGACCTCAACATAACATAAATGGTATGGAATAATGGGTGGAGAATGCACAGGCTTTGGCTGGGTTAGTTAAATTTTTTCACAGTAGCTTGCACAGGGCTATATTTTAGATTTGTGCTGAAAATAGTGTGATACTCTGATGTTTCAGTTTCTGATGAGCCGTGCTTATGCAGTGTCAAGGCCTTTTCTACTCGTTACACTGCCTTGCCAAGTATGTTGGAGATGCAAAAAAAGTTGGGAAGGGAACACTGTTGGGACAGGTGAGCCTAACAGGCCAAAGGGATGGATATTCCATACCATCATGGTAATAAAAATGGGGTGTGGGGTGGTGGTGTGTGGCAGAGGGAGCTGCAGTTCAGGGACTGGCTAGGTATCAGTTGGTGGCGAGTAATTTTTTTCATTTGTGTCACTTGTCTTTATTGGGTTTTAATTTTCCTATCACTTCTTTTTTTCTCTTCTCCTTGCAATTCTTTTTTTTTTTTTTTAATTAGTATTTATTTTTAATTGTTCAATTGTTTTTATCTCAACTTTTTTTATCTTACCCTTCCTACTCTACCCCCATCCCACTGAGGGGGAGTGAGCTAGCAGTTGTGTAGTGCTTAGTTGCTGGCCGGGGTTAAACCATGACACCTGACCACACCTGTGTGGGAACCCTATGTGGTGGATGTCTGTTTTGGAGCTGGGCTCTGGTGGTAGGGGGTGTATGAGTGTTATGTGGTAAAGTGCAGAGCCATAGTGTTAAGTGAGGCTGGGAAGGGGCTGCCAAGGGAAGGTGAGGGCTGCTAATAGCTTTCAGTCCTGGCCACTTCTGTGTGGGAACCCTAGCAGATGGGTATCTGTTTTCGACTTGGCCTCTGGCTAGGGTGAGGGGTCTGGTCCTTGAGATGGTGCAGAGTCCAAGTATTTTGGGGCTGTGAGAGGAAGGCCATGAGAAGGTGATGGATTCAAAATGCTCAGTTTTGGCTGGGAGACACAGCTATTAGAACTGCATGTTTGACCTACACAAGGGCAAGGATCAGGAGAATTAATGTTAGGTGGAGAAAAAATAATAGAGATGACTGTTTGAGACGATTTGAAGGGGCTGCCAATAGATAGTGAGAGCTGCCAAATGCTCATTCCTGGGGACTTTTTTATGTGATTCATTGCTGGCAAGGCTCCATTTTGGACATGGGCTTGGGGTGGAGTTGGGTAGGGTAGGCCACAGCAGCGGCCAAGAATGAAATATTCTGGCAGCTCTCAGCTTCCATTGGCAGCCACTTGCCAGTCCCACCAACACTTTGGCTCCGTGCTTGTTCTAGCACTTAATAATATCCCACACCATGACCATAAATCTAGGCACAGCTCAGCCTCAAAATGGACAACTGCCAGCTAGGGTCTCACACAGAAATGACCAGGACTGAAAGCTTTTGGCAGCCTGCACCTTCCCTTGGCAGCCTTTTCATGGATCACCTATCATGTGGCTATACACTTTGTCTTGCAACAAAACCTAACCTTTTCCTGACCCTCACCCTACCCTAAGCCCATGTCCAAACTGCAACCTTGTCAGCAATGGCTGTCTGTCCTGCATCAGGTCTTAACCATTCCAATCTTCATCAGTTCCTAATATACCCAGAAAGGAAGAAGTATATTTAAGTATTTGTCATGGACGGACTCCAGCACAATTTTTAATAGGGTTGGAGTCTCCAGGACAGAAAAATAATTAAAAAATCTCTATAACTGACATACCAAAAGTGTGCATATGAAACGAAAAGTAAAATGAAAAATTACTCAATAATTCCTCCACAGATCCCCCAGCTTCCCAGATTTTCTTGGTATAGTTTGCTGTCTAAAACTCAGCTCCATGCTATTTCTTCATAATTGTTATTAAAGCATATGAATAAAATTGCAATTTTTTAAAAATTCCACAGCAGAAATTAGGAGGAAGATGACATCTTCTTCCACAGTTTCCATGTTAAATTTTATATGCCTCAATACTGCAGTGAGTGATGAGGCAGAACATATGTGAGGGGATAGAAGGGATAGAAAAGTGGAAATTTACTACTGACTCCTCATTTAATATGAAGTGACTAGAAAGAAAAACAGGTGACATACATATAGACAAAAATATGCAAAGATGGAACTAACACTTCTGTAGAGAATCCAAAGATTAAAGGAAGAAATGAAGCCATAACAAATGGCAGTACAAAATTTCCAAGAACATACTTAATTACAATTCTAATTCCATGAGTTACTAGGAAGTATGATTTACTTTTAATTATCATACTGCCAGGTTATTCTTCAGTGCATGCAAAAATTATTCATTTCTGGGCCTTTTGGGCAAACAACTATTTGCACACTCAACGTCTAACATTCTTTCTGATAATTTCAAGGTTAAAAACAACATCTGTGATTCTGATGTGAGCTGGAAAATGGGAGTTGTGACAGATACTATGAAAAGATGGGAAACGTATGGTACAGCTTAAGCAATCATAGCTTACAATTTTTGCTAACTGAATATACAGCCAGTGCTACAGTTTCATAAATTAAAACATTCAGTTTGAATTACCCTGTGACAAGTTTTTGAATCCATTAATTTTACTCTAACTCGAAGTCTTATCTTCTTTAGTATTTACTGTAGCTGAACTTTAATTAAAGTAAAATAGCACAACTTTTAAATGTTAGTGCTTTCATCATAGTTTATAACTAATCACATAACTGGATGATAAGACAATGGGTCTGAATCTGCTTGCATGTATCCACAAAAGGTGCATCAGTACTGAAATGAATAGGACAGATCCCCAGATAAAAAGGTATGTTTACTCATGTATGCGTTGTCTATATATGATATAACTCAAAAATGGCCTTTTTCACTGCTTATGAAGGAGATGGAAATTGCACAGTAGGTATTTTGCCTTTCTAACGTGGCACATTAGGGGTTTAGATCCTTTTCCTTAAAAGACTTTGAAGATTTGTCTCATAAGGTTTTTCATACCAGGAGAAGAACAAATCATTAAAATGTAAATGAGAACCTTTCCTAAAGCTAATGTCATAGAGTGAGCAATGTTCACAAATTATACTGTGATATGTGAGTTATCAGGCAAGGAAGAAACAAAAGTTTACCCAAACGAAGTGGCTGCCACATCTATTAATTGCAGACCATCTTCAACAAGTGATGAAATTAAAAATCAATGGTCAAAAAGGCACAAATCAGTAGTCAGTCTAACAGATGAACCAACCTGGAAAATGTAATTTCCTGCAGTTGCTTGGAGATCAATACAGCAAACAGCAAAACAGTTAAAATTCAGTGATTAATGATGAGATTCTCAAAAATGCCTAATAGATTCAGAGTAAAAGTTCTAAGGTCACATCAGTATTTCTGGAAATCCTGTCTCTAAACCACTTAGTTTCACTATCTGGATTTTCTTTTTAATACTACTACCCAGCCACTTTATACATCAAAGTGTATACTATTAGCATGATATATTATTCCTATTTTTCCTGTAATTCCTAAATAATACTGTGAAAATAATAAAACCAAACTTAAATAAAATTGAAATCTTATTTATTTTGCCTCAAGCTGCTGTGCTTTAAGATCCACTACTGCTTATGTATTCCAAGTATGATTTTGTTTCACAACAGCCTTTGTATTTACAAATGTGGAAACCACCTACAGTTTTGCATTAAAAAAATCTACTGCTCAGTTGGCAGCCTGCAAAGAAGTAACAGTTCATGGTAACTCTTTCTTTCTGACCCTAACTGTCAATATTAACCCACTGCTAAGAAACTACAACACAACTCCAAATGAAAGGGGATATGTTTCAAATATAAAATTATTTTTAATCATTTGTGGAGAAGTTTGGTCTATAGTTGAAAATAATTTCAGAATAAATATACTTATATCTTACTCATAAATGCTCCAAGGAAAATAACATTTTATCTGAGATATGCCCTGAGCTATCTAGACTCCTTAATAGTGCAAACAATGTTGCAGTGATGCCTGGTTTCATCCTGGCTTTTGTAAAGAAAACACAGCAACTGCCCACAGAGCTCCTAAATGGCTGACACACCACAGCATTATGGTCACTACAGCAGTTCTTGTAGTTTTGCTAAGTTCCTCTCCATCCACTGGATATTAAGCTGAATTGTGTCAATTGCCTCTTTTACACAGCGCAGTTGAGAACTCTCCTCTGATTTTGCCTCAAAAAATGACTTCACCTGCATAGCAAGACAAAAGAAATAAAATTTTCATTAAAATCAACACTGGTCACACAAATAGGTTCAGAAGCAAAGGCTACACATGTGTTGCAGGAAATCTATTATTCAGAATTATTTTTATATATGCAGGAAGAAAACCTCTCAAATGAGTTCCCAAAATGCAAGGAAAATATTTTTCATGGTAACTGCAGCAATAACTCATCTGGTTCCAATAAATTATTTCACCAGTAAACAGGCATTCACTTATCATATTGATCACAGAGCAATTACAAAGCAAAGTTCTGGAAAATGAGTCGTCTTCTGTGACAGCTGATTGTTGCAAGCAATCCTCTTCAACACTCTAGAATGACCCACATACCCACTCATAACTGTCAGTGCTAGCACTTAAAATACTACAGAACAAACCTTGAATAACTATCTCTACGAAGTAATCTGAACAAAAACATTAGGCTAAACCATAAACCATGCTTGATACATTAAATTCAAGGCCTCGTTAAAGAAGACAGCAGAGATTTCTAATGGCTATTGACTGGCTCTTAACTGATATTCAACCTCCACAAAAGCTCCTTGGGACTGTTGACAGCAAAAAAATCCCCAAACAATAAAGCAATTCCTATGGCACTCCATCGCATTCCAGAGAGGCAGAAAGCATAGCCTGTTTACAAAATTTAGACCAAAATTCTAGACTAAATCATTATTTTGGGAGACAGCGTGTTCCAGTGAACAGGAAAACAAAACAGCATAAACAGATAACTGGGTTCAAGTCTATCACAGATTCAGTATGTAATCGTTAATATGTTTATGTATATATTTGCCTTGTGTGAAATAGGGAAAGCAATAGGTGTATATCCTTGCAAAAGGGCCTCAAGGACAGAAATAACATGTTTTCCTCATCCTTCAATTAAATGAAAACAGCACTGGCACCATGAAATATCCCTTTCTAGTAGATTAAACCACCAACCTCAAGTAGATGTGTCTTTGTTGCAAATTGAGAAGTTGATAAAGTAATGATATTCTGGATAGTATATGAGCCTAGGTGAAACCTGAAACAAAAACAAGTAAGTTATTTTAAACTAGAAGCCACTTTAAGATGCACGTTCAGTACATGTACACATTCTTATTTCTCCTTTTTTGTTTTAGTAGTTGGAAATCATTATAAGAACTTAAATTCAAGTTTACATATTACATATGTCATTTTTCAAAAGAGATACAAGGTCTTAGAAGCCCAAGCCTCTAGTTCCCTAAAAATTAAACTTTAGAGCAAAAGACATTAAAAATTTTCAAACTTCTATCACAGCACAATTAGTAAAGAACTGAGGACATCACACACTGAATACCAAGACCTGCATTTGTGGTATGTATTCAAAAATTCTACAGTAATTGAATTTGCAACCAGATTTCATTTCAAGCAAAGTAATTTTGTAATATTGCATAATAAGAGCTTGCTAGGGCAGAAATTTTCAACCAGGAGAAGCTTTTTTAGCAATGTGAAAATGTTCCAGATCAAAACTAGGATTTAGAAATAGTTTTCCACGTACTGTTAGCTTTTGGAAGACTTGCGGGACAGCTGTCCTGATGGGTACCCTTCTAGGCCAGTTAAGTAGAACATATATTTCTAAAAGTAAGTGGGATTTTTGTTTATTAGGTTTTGGGATTGCTGTAAAAAGGCAGAAAAAAAAAATCTGAATGAATTCCCTTGGTGTGCTTTTTAATGCATTTGATCCACATAAATATCCCCTATGTGCAGCAATCACTTTAGAGACAGCATCCGTTTAACAGAAATTTAAATTTTTAAAAGATTACTATGAGGCTCTAGGAGATTCCAAAGTCTCATCAACTACTGGTGAGACTTCAAACTTTATGTTCCAAGTTATTTTTGTAAAGTCAGATTTCAAAACAGGCTTTACAAATTTAATAGAAATCTTATATGAAACCAACTGTTTACTATCTTGCTCTTGAAAGAAACAAAAAGGTGCTTTTTATACAGTGAGTATGAAATTTCAGCTACATCAGAAGGCTTACTTTCGTGTAAGCTTTTCCCAGTTCTCTTTGACAAAGTCCCAGGCCAGCAAATGCCCAGTCAAACTCTGGCTAACAGTTGATACGATATGTGAAAGCTCCTGTGCCCTAATGACTTCTCCTTCAAGGCTGTTCTGCATTAACCTAAAAGACAAAGTATATGAAAAGAGACAGGAAAAAACAATTATTCTTATCTTCGCATGATCTCCTAATACTCCTGAATTAGATGGAAAAGGTTATATAATAGATATAATATAAAGATTATGTAATAGACTTCTGGCATCTGGAACACACCAACTCTCCATTTTATAACTACTGTACTTGTTTAGCTTTAGTTTCCAAGTGCCAGAGTGACCTTAGCTCTAAACCAAGTACCTGAATTTTCATTGCTGTTGAAAAAGATGAAGTAAATTCTAACAACTTGTAAAAGAAAACATAATACATTGTGTGGTGGTTTAGGCCCTGCCGGGACCAGAGACCATGTTGCCATTGCTCCTCCCCCACCCTCAGCCAGTCAGGCTGGAAGTGAGGCACAAACCCTGGGTTAAAATAAGAAAACATTTAATACAACAGTGTAATAAGCAATCTGAACAACAACAGTAGCAATGGTAACAACAATAAACAACAATACAGTAAGCAAGACAAAAGATATACAGACAAATACTGCAATGGTTATGGAACAAGCCCGCCGTGTGCTCCCCGCCACCAAAACCACAAACAAAAAATTTCCTGTGCTCCCTCACCGAACCTGATGTCAGCATGGTATGAATAACCCGGCTGGACATCCCTTCCCCCTCTCTCTCTTAACCCTATCCCAGCTGAATCAGGACACATTGAAAAGTTAAGAGAAAAAAGCTGTAACGAGAATCACCTAGCAGCACAAACTTGGTCCTCCATGCAGTACTGAGTGTTGGTCTATAGAGAGTTGTTGGAGCATAATGTAAGGTCAAAATTTTATGCAAAGAAAGAAAAGAAAAAGAAAAGAAAGGAAAAAGGAAAGAAAAGAAAGGGGAAAGGAAAGGAAAAAGGGAAGGGGAAGGGGAAGGTAGGGGAGGGGAGGCAAGGCAAGGCAAGGCAAGGCAAGGCAAGGCAAGGCAAGGACCCTAAACAATACCCACCCACTCCCCCCCAAACTAGTTATAATCTTGATTACAAAGATAGACCAATCTTTTAAGACCTCATAGGACAATCTGCAATTGTGTTACCTTTACCACAAAGTCAGCAATTTTGTGTTACCAGTAGTGCAAAGCCTTTATGTGAAATTGTTTTCTCTTTACACATATTTAGAATTTGGCCATTTGAGCTACTCTGTTACATAAATTATTTTAAAGTTAAAAATATCACGTTCTTCATGTTTATGGAAGCCTGTACAAAACATGCAGATAGACCAGCAATCACAAATTTTTTCAACAATTCAAAGATTTTAGCACCTTTAATTTTCACAACATACAACTCTTTGGCTCCCTCATACCAGATCAGCTTTCTGACATCTTCTGTGGTGGACAAGGCTTCAATCATCTTGCTTTTCTCTGCTTCAGAAACTGAAGATGAGTACATCTTTAGGAGGAATTCCCAGCCATCACTAGATTTGGCTCCAGCTATAAATATGGCTTTCATAACATCACTTGGCAGACTACAAGGAAAAAAAAACAAAACCAACAACAAAACAACAAGAAAATAAACAAAAGAGGGACATATAAATGCCTATCTGGCGAAAGAAGGAAGAAAAGTTACAAAGTCAAAATATTAGCATGAAAAAGATTCCTCTCTTTTGAGCAGTTTAATTCGGTAGAAATTGTAAATTTGCTGGATTGAATTCATGCCAGTCTAATACTTTAAATCACTAGGAAAAAGCAAATTGTGTTGGTCACATGAAAGCACAGTAAACTGTGCCAAACAAAAATCTGAGTAATTTTCTGTGGCTAAAAATGCACAAGAATACAGAGCAGAATGAATTCTACAAGATAAAAAGGCATGCTTTGACATTATTACTAAGTAATCCTCCTTGAGCATACAGTTTAGGAAATGCAGATGGAAGCAGTTTGTGACTGGTTTTGCAGTCACACTTAATAAGACTGCAGAAAAAGATTTAAATTCTAACACACTTCTCCCTCTCATCTTGAAAGAGCAACTACTTCTACATGAGGAGCAAGTCAAAGACAGAATGAAGTGCTTTATCAATGCTGTTGGTGCTGGCATGCATTTTTTTGTTTGTTTGTTTATTTTTTTCCAAAAAATGGTGGCAAGGTAACAGGAAAACATGTAGACAAAAGAAGTGGAATTCCATTTTTTGTGGTACCTCATTGTTCCATTAGACTTCATCCACTTCTTAAACATCTCATTGGCAGTTGTTCTACAGTTTCTCATATCATGGGTGCAGGCAAAAGCTAGCAGCATTGACCGGAGCTCTCGTTCAGACAGGGTCCCATCATCTGTCCAGTGCTGTTGATCAATTTTATCTCCAAGCAGGTGCTCTATTCTATGCTAAAGGAGGAAAAAATATGATCAATAGCTAATTCTTCCCAAGAGGATTTTCTAAATTAAAAAATTAGTTTCAGAAAAGAAAAAAAGTTAAATTTTAGAACTGTGGAAGTTACACATAGCAGCTTTTCATCTAAATATTCCAATTTACATATACCATTTCTTACCGGTATGAATCAGGTACCACATTGATCTGAAAGATGGGCCAGATCTACACCTTAAATTGCACATGGAAACTGAAGACTACTCCAAGCTATGGTTCAGACTTGTATGTAGTCATCTTACTAGCTCAACTAACTATAACTCCTGTATGTTTAACTGCTTTTAACTCCATTAAGCTACAGTTAATACACCTTAGTTTAGCACAAGCAAATCAACAAATCTTTATCTAGAGGCTGAACACCTTTCACATCTGTAATTTTGTAGCTTGCCAAAACACAGCAAGGTGACTGACCAGCTACCACATCTCAGCTGAAATGCTTGAACTTAAATATAGCCTCACAGAAACTGAATATCAAACAATAGTTTGGGCTGTTTATCACAACAGATCTGTAAAACCTTTAAATAAATACTAAATAAAGAAAATTATTATAGTAGTGGGGTTTTGTATCTTGTAAATTTCCTTAAGTACTCACTGATTAACCTTACTTAGTATAAAGAAAAACATCTGCTATTTTATCTAATCATTTAATAGTTCTCCTTCTAGACTAAATTCCTTTGCTGATGTTCTACAATGTAAAGCAAGGATCATTTTATACCTGTAGATAAGTACAGACAGGATGCTTCATACTAAGAAGGTAAACAGAAATGAAAGACATTTCCTCAGTAAGAACTGAGGGTATGATGTTGGATTCATTGCTAAATCTGTAGCACTGTAACATGTTAATCTATCACACAGCTGGAATGGGACAGTGACAACCATTTGTGTTCCTAGTTTTACAGTTAATAATTTTTTTTCCATTGCTCTATAATGTATGTTCTTCATCCACTTTAATCATTTTGGAAATAACTTTTCTATCCATATTGTCATGAACTCTGTTTAATTGCATAACTTAACTACATTGACCTTCATAGCCACTACAGCAAACACCCAGACACTACTATATTCCCACTGCATTACACTCCTTACGAAACATTGCTGGGGGTTCGGAGGGAGTGAGTAGGTGGAGCAAGTCGATCCAAAAAAAAAAAAAAAATTTCAGTAAAATGTCACTACTACTTAACAAAAGCAGACAGGACTGACAAGTATCTAGAATACAACCAAACTCAGTAACATTACTGAATATGTTCAACACTCAACACCTAAAAAGATAATATAACTATAAAGAACATTACAGCTACATATTTCAAATCATAATTTACAGAAAACTAAGACATACCATGACTCGTACTGCCAGCTGTTGTTCACCCTTTTTCTCCAAAAGGCTGTATATATGACTCAGCTGAAATAAAGCTTGAGTGAGTGGTGAAGTGCTGCTCTCTTTGTTAACGTAATCAATCAGCTCAAAGGCCTTTTCCAGAGACTCTTTTCCTAGACTATAGGTCAATGAATACAAACATTAAAATTGTTTCCAAAGCAAAAGCACTCCCTGAATCCAGAAGTGATGCTCTCCATTGCATTAACAGAGCGATAGGTGAATAGAGGGAATAACATAAGAAACACTTCAAATGTACATATTTTCATATTATAGCATTGGTAGGACATCAACAAAACAACAATGGCCACTAACATGCCTTTAATTAACAAAAAAATTAAAATAAGTAAGAAAGTGTGATGATAATTTCTGAAAATATTTATTATAAATGAGGGTACTCAGATACAGGAGGTAGCTGTCAAAGAGGCCATCCAGAATGCTCAACCTGCTATGATGGCAGTGGTGAAAGACAAGAGAGGGAGCCAATAAAAATTTGAGAGGAAAATAGCTTATTACTCTAAAGTGGAGCACTCCTTGACAGAGTAAGGAAAACAGTCCTCGAGGCAGATTGTCAGACACTGAAGAAAACAGTGTCTTTCAAAAATGGAAGCTATCATGTGTCTCTTCGTGATGCAAATACATTAGCAATATGGAAGCATCAGCAAAATAACTTTTTTTTTAAAAAAAAATAGTGAATGGTGAAGAGTTTCAATACTCTAATAACTGAATTAAAACTCATCTGAAGCAGTCTTCTCTAGAATCTAAGTGTGATCTTTAACATGGAAAAACATTAAACACCTACTAACTGTTTTCCAAAATAAAAGTCTTACCCTGCAAGGCTGAAGATATTGTTGATCAGATTGGCTCTGTCTTTAGGACTCAAAGCAGTGTGGTTTTTTTTCAACAGATCAATTAGTGTTTTCCAGTCTTCAGCATAGTGTACTATGTAATAGCCGTTCATGTCCACATTGAATTTTATCCATTCCACCTCTTCTGGAAGTTCAATGACAGCTAATGAACAGACAATCAATTAGCAGCTGAAACAAACATTAGCAACTGTTCATACAAATCCAAATCTGTGAAACAGACTGGTTCCAGAGTCAATAAATTATTGCCACCCACTAGTTCCCCTTACTATGAAGAAAGAACAGCCAGTACAAAGCTTCTATGAGAAGGCTCCAAAATTCCTCACTATACTTCTTCCTCCTTCTTCCTACATCTGATTGAATGAACAGTATCACAATCTGCCCTGAGTTGTATTTATGCAGTTAATTACTTAAGTGCAATAATTTTTCTCCTTCTGTCCAGTTCTTCTTTCAAACAACCCCATGTACTCTCTGCTCACTTTCGTATTTTAAATATATATATATATATATATATATATATTTTTAAAGAGTAGTTACACACACTGTATAAAGAAATAGATAAATTAATATGGAATGAAGTAGACAAAAGGCCACACGCTAGTTTCAAAGCCAACTAGATACAAAAAAAGGAGGCCTTGGGAAAAAGCTCTTAATTTCAGTTGATTCTGTAAGTACTGCCAAAAATGTCAATGCATCTGAAATGTAAGTATTCTACTCCAAACTGTTTTGTACATCTCTTTTACTCTCATATCCTCCATGTCCAAATTTCTACAGTGAGTAAGGAATTAGTATGATGAATATGAGACCACCAACAGGGCCATTTAAGGTGGAAGAAAGAATGAGGAAATGAGGCTACTCACCTATTAGTTCTAGTAAGATCAAGAACACAGTCAATTAAACAGCTTTGTTTTTTCCATTCTGATAATTCATAGTATTTTTTTTCTAAAACTCCATCTCAAATGAAAAAGGCCAAGAATAACTTGTAGGTTTTGTAAAAGCAATGTCAGAATGACATGAACTAACATTATTTACTGTACTTATAGTACTTCTAAAGTCATTTTAGAAGGGTGGCACTTTGTAAGAGTCAGTAAACAGTAAAAATGACAAGATCAACTCTGAGAATTTTGTTTTAGATTTCTAAGGCTTTATTTGAAGAAGTAGAGGTGCGAGATAGGTTTATGAAGAATAATTGCCAGTTAAATGCACTGAATAGTAATTATAATGGGGAAGAAGAAAATATATCAGCAGAAGTAAGATGAGTCAGACCAGCCTCAATAAAATGCAAAAACCTATTTAAGTCAGTGGAAAGCAACTGACAAAGTGATTTTAGCACAATACTACGTAAGTGTATAGTAACTATTCACTTGGTAAGGAAAAACAGTGCTGCATAAAAACCATTCAAAGACTAGCAATTTAGGATTAAACTAGCCACTGCAGCAAAAGCACAGAGTTTATGTGAAAAGATCTAAATGCTTCAAGTTCTACATCATTCTCAAAAACTGAATCTGTTCCAGATGCAATATTTGCTTTAATGTTATAAGAAAATAAATAATATTTCAGTGGAAAGTGACTTCCTCACATTTCAGTACACTGGCAGAGCAACCTTCCCATTACTCACTCTCTAAAAGGACATGCAGTTTGAGAGATTTTGTGCATACACTGGGATGAACAGAGTACAAACTCCAAACCTGTGCTTCTGACCCACTTGCTGCCATTTACTTGTATGTATCCATTCTGATAATTCATAGTATTTTTTTCTAAAACTCCCTCTCAAATGAAAAAGACCAGGAATAACTTGTTGACTTTGTAAAACTAATGTCAGAATGACATAAACCAACTTTCTAAAGATGACCACCGGTAGTGCTTGGCTCCAGATCTCTGTGATTATTTTGTACTACGTATGCTCTCCTCTGTACATCTTACATAAGGGTGCACTCAGAAAGGTCAGTAATCTATAACATTTACGTAACTTGCTACTGAAATTTTGAGTCACATACCTGACTTCTGGTCCAGTAAATATGCACTAGTACAATGGGTAAAGTTGCAGTTACTAGTTATGTAGGTGAGAGGAATATGCCACAGATAACTGCAAAGGAAAGCAAGTGTTTACTGACATACTATGCACGTGTTCTTTGACTTGAAGCGTTTGTTTAGACTTTTTTCGTTTCAGTATTTAAATATATCAGTAGTATTAGAAACACTACATGCTATTATATAAATCATTCATATAATAAATTATATATCATACATATAATCAGAATATGATAAAAGAATACATGTACAGCATATACAACAATTATTTTATTCCCACCATATTGAGGAGTGGGAAAATGTCATTGAATCATAGAATGGCTTGGGTTGGAATGGACTTTTAAAGGTGATCTAGTCCAAGCTCCCATCATAAGCAGTGACTTCTTCAACTAGATCAAGTTGCTCAGAACCCCATCCAACCTGACCTTGAATGTTTCCAGGGACAGGTCATCCACAACTTCTCTGGGCAACCTGTTCTAGTATTTAATCACCCACATCACAAAAGAATTATTCCTTATATCTAGTCTGAATCTACTCTCCTTTAGCTGAAAACCATTTACTTCCATCCTACAGACACTACTGAAAAGTCTGTCCCCATCTTTCTTTTAAGAACTGAAAAACTGTAATAAGGTCCACTGAGAGAGTTCTATTCTCCAGGTTAGCAATCCCAACTCTCTCAGCCTGTCCTCCTAGGAGAGGTTTTCCATCACTCTGAGATCTTCTGTGTCTCTCCTCTGGACACACTCCAACAGGTCCATGTTGTTCTTGTATTGATGACTCCAGAGCTGGATGAGCACTCCAGGTGGGGTCTCACCAGAGCAGAGTAGAAAACCAGAATCACCTCCCACAACCTGCTGGCCATGCTTCTTTTGATACAGCCCAGGATATGGCTGACTTACTGGGCTGTGAGTGCACATTTCACTGGTGGATTAAAAACCTCATGAGAGCATCCAGTTTTTAATCCACCAGTATCCCCCAGTCCTTCTCCACAGGGTTGCTATCCATCCCTTCACCCCACAGCCTGTATTGATACTGGGGGTTGCCCCAACCCAGGTGCAGGACATTGCACTTGGCACTGTTGAACCTCATGAGGTTCACATGGGTCTACTTCTCGAGCTTGTCCAGGTCCCTCAGGCATGTCAACTGCACCACTCAGCTTGGTGTTATCTGCAAATTTGCTGTGTGCACTCGATTCCACGGTGTATGTCATTCATGAAGACATTAAACAGTACTTGTCACTGTACAGATGCCTGAAGGATACTGCTTTCCCTAGTACTTCTTCCTCAGTTCCAGCATGCTAAGTAGCTTGTCCAAAGTCATATGGACAGGAGATCCCTGGCTGTATCAGAAATTCAGCCAGTATTATTTTCTTCTCAGTCCAATGTTCTCTTCCTGAAATTTTATAAGCTTTATTAAAAAAAAAAAAAAAAAAAAAAAAAAAAAAAAAAAAAAAAAAAAAGGTAATTCAAGTACAAGAATCAAACTCCAAATCATGGTGTGCTGGGTTTGTGTGTATGGGGGGGCCTTTGGGTAGCGGGGGAGGGGGCTACAGTGGTGGGTCCTCTAAGAAGCTTCTCAAAGCTCTGTCAGTTTCAAGTTGGACCCGCCTCTGTACCAAGGCCCAGCTAATTGGTGGACGATGGCTGTGCCTCTGTGATAATTTACTTAAGAAGGGGAACTTGGGAGGGGGAGTTGGAGTTATGAAAAGGAGTTGCAAGGAGAACACCTGTGTAAACACTGAGATCAGGGAAAGAAAGGAGGAGTGAGGGGGGGAGGTGTGCCAGTGCAGAGGCTCTTTCCAGCCTGTGGTGACATCACTGGTGGAGCAGATGTCAACCTGAAGCCCATGAAGGACTCCACTCCAGAGCAAGGTGACTCTGCCCAAAGAAGGCCGTAACTCTGTGAGAAGAAGCATCTGCTATTGAAGTTTGGCCCTGGGAAGACTGCAACACACAGGAGGGATCCACACCAGAGCAGGTCAAAAAGAGTTGCAGCCCATGGGAAGGACTCATGTGGGAGAAAGTTCATGGAGGACTGTCTCCCATGGGAGCAACACCACGCTGTAGCAGGGGAAGAATTCGAGGAGTCCTCCCCCTGAGGAGGAAGAAGCACAGGACTAACCACACCCCCCTATTCCCTGACCCCTGCACCTCAAGGTGGGAGGAAGAAATCAGGAGCAAAGCTGAGCCTGGGAAGCAGGGAGGGGTGGTGGAAGATATTTTTAAGATGTGGTTACACTTCTTACTGTCCTACTCTGTCTGTTAAGTGGTGGTGTTGTTAGTGTCTGAATTAAATTGATATTATTTTTTTATTCCCCTAAGGAGTCTGTCTTTTGCCCATGACCATAATGGGAAATCATCTCTACTTGTCCTTATCTTGATTCCCAAACCTTTTGCTTTTTTCCTCTCCCTTCCTGAGTGCGAAGGGGTGAGTGATGGCTGCATGGTGGTCAGCTGCCCTTTGGGATCAAACCACAACCTGTGATAATAGAAACCATAATTGATTGCATACTACAAGAACTGCCTCAAGTAAACTGCAAGCTGGAAGAATAAATGCTAAGGTGGCTCATTAATGATGATAAGGACATGACTAGAGAAAACAAAACTTTGAGTGAGATGAAACAAGTTTCACATTTGCTTTCCAATTTTGACAGGGACCTCTTCTGTGTATGACACACAGATCACTCTTCTTCAAAAGATGATGCACTCAGCTTCTGTTAAGACTTCAAACAACTGATTAAAACCAACAAAATCTCAAAATGATTAAAGCTTACATATTTTGTTTTGATACAAAATACACTAAACTTCATCACATAAAACATATTTGCAGTACATGCATCGTTACAGTTATCAACTGCCACACTTTTGCTTCTTCAGCATTTGTGTATATACTTCCTCTCTGATATATTCAGTCATTTGCTGTCATGCATTAGTGCCATCTTAAAATTCTAAGCCAAGTAAACTTTGATTCTAGCATTTCTACCTTCTTCTGACAAATCCCAAGATACACAATGAATTTTGGCAGGAATGAGCAGCAGCTCTAAAGTCAGACGTATGTATCTGTAACTTCTGCAAACTTCTGCAACCTATCTTTCTTCTCATTAACCACACAAGACTTTCTGAAATCAAAAGAAAACTTTACCTGTGAGATCTGTCTTTTGTTATTAAAAACTCTTAAGAATTCATTCTGCTCTTTACCACAACATCATCTCAATCTTAAAAGTTTCAGGAAAGGATGCAAATAAGAAACTCAGCTTACAAAGGATGCTACAGATTTTTCCCAGTTGCTTGGATGGAAATAGATAGGGATCCTCAGGCAGATACTAGATGTATAAATTTCTGTGCCAAATTCTCTATTACTACCTGCCTTCAAAAAAAATATTAGAACCCCTGAATCCAAGCAAGAAAAATGTACAAGATACAAAAAAGATATCTGAAGGTAGATTTTAATGGATAAAAGGTATTAAGAAGATAATAACCTTGTATCTGATGTCCAATTTTCTGGTTCCATGTGATACAAAAATTTCTCTTGTTGTAAAGAAATAACATTTCTCTTTCGAACAATAGTGACTAAAGGAAATCCTTTATGCTGAATCCATGTTTTCATCAGCTTTTTTACATCTAGTGTTCCATTGGTAACCTGTAAAACAGAATCATAACATAACAAGAAAACGGCAAATGGAGAACATTTTTTAATCTTCCTCCTTAATTTGCCAAGTAAGTAGTGGCATGATTCTGCACCTGTAAACAACTACTTTGACACTGAGCTTGTAAATTTTGTAAGCAACAATTTAGTGGAGCAGGTGGTTTTTATTTTCTTAAGTTGAGGGAATCCTGGCCAAGCAATGGAAAGACAGATTGGAAATATCAGGTAGGTTGAACTGGTATGTCATGGAAGTGAAGAAGGTAATGTTACAGAAAGGAAAGTTATGGGAAGCTCTCAAGCTCCCCCCTAGCCTTTCTCTCTCCTTCTTGGTATTCTGATATTATGTGGGTGTTTCAGGTAAAAGATCTTATAATTCTGAAATGAATATTAGAAATTGAATTAAAATGACAGTGTTTGTTTTTTTTTTTTTTTTTTTTTTTTTTTTTTTTTTTTTCCTCCCACTTACAAGCCTTTGCACAGCTTAACCTTCAACCTCTTCTAATCTTTCAGGAATTTTTATACTACAACATCCCCACTGAGGGACAAGTACTTTATAATGTCTACATATCACAGCCTCTTTATTAGCAGAGACTATCATCCAACATGAAAAAAGACTATATGCCTTCTAAGTTAAGAAAATATGTTTTAGGTTGAGCTATCAGGAACATAAGGAAATTAAAATGTCATTATTCAAGTTACATTTAACCTTTACTAACCTATACTGGGTCTTTCGCTACTTTATCTCATTAACATCTCACTTCCCAGTGTTGTCATTCAAGTCAACAATAACATGTTTACACTCATGGGAAAATACTGTATTATTTATGTAGAGAACAGTCTTAAAATTTAAATAGGGATTTCAATTCCAGGGAAGCAATTCTCTATCAAAAGCTTAAAATTTATAGAATTTGAAGTCTCCATGAAAAAACATACTTTTTATATACTTCCAAACTCCACACTTGGCTAAATCCTCTTCCTCCACCTTGTTATCACAAGTTATCATTGCTACTACAATGTTACATTATGTAATCCCTTCATAAATTGCCCAAGATGTGCTGAATGCATGCTCTCACTTTCTTTTGCCATTATTCCTTTCTTTCTTTTCCACTTTGAAACCACCAGAAATTTATAAGGTCATTGCTACCCAGAAAAACAAAACAAAACAAAACACACTAGAAAACACTAAACCATAAAAGGAATGTTAAGCGATCCAGAAACTGTCTAGTACTTGCACCTTGACAACTTGTCTTGACAACTTGCACATCTCAAGTCTTTCTGTCTTAATATTGTGAGCCACCCATAAATTTTAAATTTGATCCACTGAAATAATTCTATTTCAAAGTAGAACCCTTTGCAATCACCTGAAATCAAACCAATTTGTTAGAAATTATAAGTTCATTATTTCATCCTAGCAAAACTTTTATTGACTTTAATTAATTTTATTGACATATCTTCCTTGAACAGCTCCAGTGAAAGCAAGACATGAAAATTAATTCAACCATCTTCCTTCGAGGTAAGGTATACAAAAAATTTGCTCACTGTGTTACAGGTTTTTCTTCTAATTCATGTGCAATTTTCTCATCTTCACTCCAACTATGACTGTCAATTTCCACAGAGAAAGTCCAGACTTAAGAAATGATTGTTCATTTTGTTATGTGGACAGAAAAGTTCATGATCAAAGAAAAAGCCACTTTTACAGTTGAAATTTTCAAATTTACATTCAGCCTAGGTGTAATTAATGGGAGTAAAAGAAAAGAGCCAATCTGTGTGCTGAATATCATAGATTTGTTTTTACTATTACCATAGATATGGAAAACAACCAAAACCAGTAACAAAGATCTCACTATATAATAATAGCAATGATTTAATTGTCATAAGGGAGACAATAGTTCACATCTAAAATAGAGAAGAATCAACAAGTTTGGACACAGATATGGGCCCTTGTATTATGAAGATAAAACTTTGAAAGAATTAACATATCTAGGCACTGACTAGAGTCCAAGGGTACTAATAATGGTATCAGTCAGTTCAAAGTTCAGATATGTACACAATAATTTGTGTGAGCTACTCACATCCATATAGTTCATAAAGTTTTAATATTCAGACACCTATTGGGGTAAAATATTATTGAGCAAAGACTTTCCATCAAGTTCCTAGAATGGATGAACTTTTGATAACAAGAGCAGAGCAAGTAATCAGAGATGCAGTCTGTCTAGATTTGACTGTTAATCAACAGAGTCTGGTTGAGAATCTGAAGGTGAAAGCCCATCAGAAAAAAAGTGAAACTAAGCATTCAAGATACAAAAAGAAAAATATTTAAGACAGAAAGAATACCAAAACAAAGAAAAACAGACACAGGGACAATACCTATATTTCAGTAAATTCAGAGAGGCAATAGCTGAAAATCAATGGAAAGAAGGTAGTTCAGAAAATGTGCCTTCCCAGGGGAGCAAAATAATAAAAGCCCAAATGTAAACTAACTCATTGTAATACCAGACCAGTCCAGCTAAACCAAAAGTCTTTGAAAAAAGGGAATATGAAAGTGTACACAAGTGAAAACACAAAACTAACAGCATTTACACTTATATAGAAAAAACCTCACAAAACAAATCAAAGACTCAGGCATAAAATGAGGTGCAGTCAGAAATGGACACAGAGTAAAAGGCAAACACTGTAATCAGCATCAGAAATTATCTAAAGAATCAGTTGGTGATCTCCTACACACAGAAAGGCAACTTCTAGCAGACAATGCTGTTAAATACCTGGTGTCAGTGGGAATTTGGTAACTATTGAATTAGCACCAAATACAAAGGGTTGTTTCTCATTAAAATAGGAAATACACACTGAGCTCTAACATTAGATGTTACTAGGTTGGTTGGATGCAATTCACTTAATAATACTAATAAACGTGGGTGAAGCATCCCCAGAGTTCTTAACAATTACTTTTGACTCTTAAAAGATGATGACTGAACTTCCAACAGACTGGAGAAAGAGGCCTGCTGAGTTTGCAAAAAAGCCAAACTTTCCCCGTGGTCAAACAATATGTTTATAACTAAAAGAAAGTTATTTTCTGAGCTAGGGAGACAGACTTAGTAAATAACCTAGTTTTGAGAACAACCCTTGTCCCTTGCCATAGTAACAGTTAAACTGCATCTAGCAACAGTAAACCCCTAACATTAATTAAAAGTGAGCCATCTGTGAGGTCTTGCTAGCCACTTTATGTGGTACTACCATCACTGTGTGATATGTTCTCTACGTGTTCATGACTGAAGATGGTTGGTCAGGAGGCTCCATTTTGCAGAGGTTGAGAAGAGGAAAGTCTAGTTTGCACTATAAAAAACACTATACAAACCGGAAGAGTTCTCTGTCATAAGAGAATCGCAGTCTGATATTAGTAATAATCCATCACTAGCTGTCAAACTAGTGACTACATGTGACTAAACACACAAATTTACAGCCACCTGTGACAGCTGACAATAACTGACAGTGGCTTCAGTTCTGCAGTTCAAATATCATAAGGTAGATGCCAAGAACCAAAACTAAACATTAAGTTAGTATCCTGTCTAGCACACAGCTTCCGTGAGGGAACCTCACATGTATTTCAGATACTTTAATACATACTATGAAGTACACACACTCACAGGGAAATCTGTTCCTTTCCCTTTTACATCTACCTTGACACTCCCTGAGGATACTCAGCAGCTCTTTCTTGTTGGAATCACTGTCAATCTTGCACTCTCACTGTCTCATACACTCTCTCCCTCTTGCACACTCCCCTCTTTGCACTCTTCCTCCCACTCTCTTCCACTCATGTGCTCTCCACCTTGCACTCTTCTACCTTCATCTTTTCTTTCTCTCCCTTCTGCTGTCTCTCCCCGGTCCTTCACATGCACCCTCTCACCCCTGCCCTCTCCAGCTCCCACATGTCTGACTCTCACCCTTGCTCTCTCCTGTCTGTGTTCCTGCTTTCTTGTGCCTCACTCCCCACCCCCCACACCCAGTCAGACACAGTCTTATGCCTGCCTTACAATTTGTAAGCTGCTGAAGTAAATTGTCCCCTAAAATTTATCTTCCTACAATTCCAGCACCATTTGCTGAAACAGAAGCCATCACTGAAGCAGGTTGCACAGGTAGAGAGTATCCCAAGACCTCTGCAGTGGTCTACAGTGATTCCTTGAAAGTAACATTTTGTCCTGCATTTAAGATAACTATTTTTATTCTGGTCTTGACACACTAACAGTGCAACTGTAGAGAGGGTATGTACATACTGACATGTCCACACATGTAGTGCATACACAAGTCTAGTGCTTTTTTGTAATGATACTCAATGGAGTCCTAGAAGCTACAGGAATCTCCATATCTACATGACAGAACTTTGTACTATGATAAGCAAGAACTCTTCATCTGCAGTCTATTATCTTATTTTGGTCATAAACAAGGAAATAAATACAAATTTACAACACAGAGAAGTGAAAAAACAAGAACAGTGTATCAAAGATGGATACCTCATTCATGCTGTCCCACAAGTCATCACTCTGGGCAGATCCATAGTTATGATTATGCAAGTATACCTCAATGCCAGCTTGGAAAACATCCTTGGTGAGATAGTGCTTCAGCATCAAAAGAAGTGAAGCCCCCTTTAGGGAGAAAAAGAAGAAACGAAATGGGAAATTAAAGTTATAGAACTTGTTGAAGCACATGCATATGATAGCTCTTTCACAGTACAAGAATAACTCACAAGCTGCCAGATTTTATCCCAAATGATATAAAGTGAATAATTACCTTTAACTCACTTGCCTTGGAAAAATATTTTTTTAGTACTTCATAAACTTCAAATATGGTGACAAAAAAAAAGCTATTAAAGCTTGAAATATTTTACCAGCTGCTTTGGAAAAAAATATTTTTTAGTATTTCAAAGGCTCAAAATAAACTTACAAAACAGGCTAATAAAGATTAACATTTTTTCCAATTAACATAATCTCAAAAATATCGCCTTCTTACTGATAAGTGTCTGCTGGCTGCCATATTTCATTAGTGATACTCTTCTGCATGGTACAGAACTGCACTTGTGAGACAGTGTTTAGCAGTCATATGATTACCAGTTATATCAAAAACCTAAAAACACAGGAGAAATACGATATACACTTAGTAGCCTGGAATTGAGTGTAGAAGGACAAGTGCATTTTAACTGTGTTTAAATGCAGCCATGTTTTGTTAAAAAAAAAAAAAAAAAAATTTTTTTAAAAAAAAAAAAAAAAAAAAAAAAAAAGTAGTAATTGAGTTATTTTAGTATCAAAGTGACCACAAATGTGTAGACAGAAAGGTGGTTTCCACTTTTTTCAGCCATAGATGAAAGCCATTTTCTTTCCATAGAAATGCTTCTATATCACAGCCACTAATGAATAAATTGCCTGAGAACTTGCACACTGTAAAACTGAATGTGGATGAGCAGCCACTGATCATGAAGACTTTAATGGAGCACTTTATATTCTTGGTATTATTTCTGAAAAAGGATCAAGAAAAAAATTAAAAGGAAGATTTTAATGAAAGCATGTATGGTTCTTGCACATTCCAAATTCAAGTTTTGGAATTTAACTAACATCTTGCCTGAAACTGAAGGCTGCCTTTGTTATTCTAATTATTCATGAAACTGCAATGAATACCCCTTACTATAGTTTTTTACAATATGGTCACAATTTCCTCTCTTGCATGCATTCATACCTGACCCATAGCTCTATTACTTTTACATACTGTCATATCCTCCCAAACACTCTGTTGTGGCAGGTGGATTGTTGTCACACCCCTGAGTGTCAGGTTTACTGACAGTCTGCAAAACAACAAGGCTAAAAATAATTTTGTACAATAATTTCTATTACAGACAATAAAATGTAGAGGCCACTTACTGACAACTGTGTCAGTTGGTATTATAGTAAAACAAAGCAAGTTTTACAATTCAATAACAGACCACCCTTAGCTGATTAGGGACCATGTTACATGTGTCTTCCCACCCAAATTGCCAAAAGCACTAGCTAAGATACAGGGCCAAGAGTAGTGTAATACAAAGATGGCAGGCATGAATGAAGAGCTATCGAATTAAGGCCTCTGAAACATAGAAAGCAGACATAAGAAACCTGTTTCTGACAATGCTAGGGCAAAAGTTCTTCTGGCTAGCTCCTAAACTCAGAGCTGTAGATTTCTACATTTCTATTCAGAAGGTGCACATACTCATTAGTGGCAGTAAAGTAATTCTCCAAATATAATGCTTTACTAATTGACTGAAAGTCCAGCCCAATCGCTTATGGGCATTTATGAGTCAAAGAGTGACAGAATTGTTATCTCTGATGTTGGCTGGTTACAGACATGTAACCAGGACATGGTGCATAGCTTCCAGAAACTCACCAAAAAAGGGAATTACTTGAGACAGCAACTCTGAAACAAGAAACAACAGCCATGCCTTTTGATATACAGATTAGGGAGACAAACCAAATCCATTTCACAACCAAGGGAAGCTGAAAATCACACATCTTTGTTCTTGTAGTTCAGGAAACAGAGACCAAATAAAGAGAAGCACATCACTATTGTAGGTCCATTTGGCATCTCAGACTACTCAAGGATGCCAGACAACATACATTAACTCATTGAGACTTGCAGAAAAGAAATCAGACGAGACAAACCAAGACCGCTGTGTGAACTGTATTCCACTGAACAGAGGAAGATTTAGTATTTGACTATTTTCTAGTAAGCACTAGCTGTCCCCATGGTTTCTTATTAGATGAAAGTATAAGCATACAAAGATAGTGAGGGAACAAAAATAGAGCTAATACAAAAGATATGTGTTGAGTTTGTGTTTGGTAGGGGTTTTGATAGAGGGGAAGGGGCTACAGTTGTGGCCCCTGTGAGAAGCTTCTCAAAGTTCCCCAGCTCCAAGTCGGACACACTTCTGGCCAAGTCTGAGCCAATTAGCAATGATGGCTGCGCCTCTGTGATAACATATTTAAGAAGGGGAACTTGAGGGGAGGAGTTGAAGTTGTGTGGAGGATATGTATGCTAACGAGATCAACTGAAGAAAGGAGGAGGAGGAGGGGGGAGGGGGAGGAGGGAGGTCCACCAGAGCAGAGAATCCCCTGAAGCTTGTGGTGAGAGGGGAATCTGTCCCCCTGCAGCCCATGGAGGTCCACAGTGGAGCAGATGTACAATTGCAGCCTGTGGAGCACCCCATGTCAGAGCAGGTTGCTGAGCCCAAAGAAGGTTGGGACTCTGATGGAAGCCCCCGCTGTAGCAGTTCATCTCTAGGAGGACTGTGACCTGTGGGAGGGACCTATGCCAGAGCAGTTCATGAAGAGCTGCAGCCTACAGGAAGGACTCATGTCAGAGAAAGTTCATGGAACTTGTCTCACATGAAAGGGGCTCCACACTAGAGCAGAGGAGGAGTATGAGGAGTCCTTCCCCTGAGGGAGAAGAAGCAGCAGACAGTGGGTGGTGAACTGACTGCAACCCCCATTCCCTGCCCCCCTGCACTGCTGAAGGAGAGGTGGTAGAGAAAATTGGAAGCAAAGCTGAACCTGGGCAAAAGGGAAGGGTGGGAAGAAGGTGCTTTTAAAATGTTGTTCTATTTCTCACTGTTCTACTCTGTTTGTAAAATTAAGTGGTCATGTTTAAATTAAATTATGGTTGCTTCCCCTAAGGAGTCTGTCTTTTTCCAGTGACCATAATCGGTGAATCATCCCTCTCTGTCCTTATTTCCCAAGTCAGATTCCCAGATTCCCAAGTTGTATTTTCTCCTCCCCATCCCTGAGGGGGAAGGAATGAGTGAGCATCTTTGTGGCGTTCAGTTGCCCTCTGGGCTCAGATCACGACAAGATATAAAAGGCTTTCCTCCAATACTACCAAAATCAAGGGATACAGTATTTAAAATCTGAGGCAATAAAGTAAAAAATTGGCAAATACAGATATTTGCTCTCTCAAGCATTTTCAAGTAAGGCTCTGTGCACCTTTTAAAACACAAACTTCACACACAAGTTGCAGACAACCAGGATATGCAGTGAAATAATTTTACATCCTAGATGCAAGCCTCCATCTCAGGAAGTCTCTAAAATACTGGGTTTTTTTAAAGCAGAAGGAGCATAGAAAGGAGTGACTGCTTCAGTTAAGTGCTTTATTGTTAATCTTTTCTTAAGTACTTGTTACAGTCTGCTATCAGAAAAAAAGATTAAATGTCTAACTAACATCTGAATATGAGTATTTCATTTGTGCTGAAGCATGCACCAAGCAGAAGGATGTTAAGTAAGGACACAAATACACATACATAATTTTTTTCCTAATTAAAAGCTACGTAGATTCTCAGAGACAGTATTGAGAGGTCTACATTGTGCTAGGTGTAAATTACCACAATTGTCAGTACATGCCTACTTACTCATGATCCACATTCATGTTTTCAATAGCTAATATATCACTTCCCAAATATTTTCAAATATTTTTAAAGTTACCTTGATATAAGAAAGTGCATCAAACATTTCTTCAATTTGTTCTGAAGACTGAACAGCAGAAGAGACTGGATGTGAAGAATTTAAAGAATCCTTCATCATAGCCTTGAAAATTAAGTTAAGGAAATCTTCATCCTAGTAAAGAAACATTTATGAGTGTCTGAGAAGTCAGAAAATGCATGATATGCAGAACAGTAAAAGTTGTCTGTTTTGCTCTTCCATTAGTCGATCATGCCATTCATTGCTCACCTTTCTGCCAGTGGAGGCAGCAAAAGAACTGTCAGGGTAGCATTCATAAAATCTTCCCTGCCACATTATCCAGACCCCTAAGCTACTGTCTCAGGTAAAAGAATCATTGACACTAGAGAAAATAAACATACCTACTAAACAAGTATATGCCATATTTCAGATTTGGTTCATCAATACTTTGTTATTTTTTTAGGGAAATTACTCACTAAACTGATGTTTGTGTGAATGTAAACACCACCTTATCTAGTGATCCTAGGACCAAAGTATCTTCTTCTAGAACAAAGATATTTGCATTTAATATACTGTTACCAGAACAAGGCAATCCCAAACACTGAAAAGAAGCCGAATGACCATTTCATTCATTTCACTGAGACTTGAATAAACAGTTCTCTACACAGTTTCCTCTATGCAGTAGAGTTAAAAAAAAAAGTTAAGATCTGTGTACAATACAATAAAGATAGCCTTTAAAGTTCAAAATTTTAAAGCTGTTCTCATTTACTGTAGTTCTGAGTGATTTTTTTTTTTATTTTTACCAAAAACATTTTGGCACCACCACGTGGTGAAGTGACATGTTGGTGAAGGCACCTTGTCAAGCACTTTTCAGAATAAAGTATACAAGTGTTAGTCGTGGCCTCATTAAACCAGACTATTTTTGTGTCCTCCTCTCACCACATACGCAGAACAGCTACACAGTGACAAGCAGAATGGCTGTACAAACATACTTTCTGTGGCCATCAAACCCAACAACCAAGCTAGGCCAAATGAAAACTTCTTAAACACCCAGGTCCAAGAAAGAATTATACTGAAACAAGTTAGTAACCCAAGTTTCTTAATGCAGTAACAAGGGTGATTTAAGAACTCAAAACACAGTCAGAATGCTGAGAAGAACACAATCCATCAAGCAGGAAACAGTCAGTACACATCAAGTTTTTATTCCCATGACTAATGCAAATCACATAAGCACTCAGAGAAGCTGGTTCCAGAAGCCAGGTAGCTCTTCTCCTAGGAGACACCTTTACAACAGATACAAAATTAGTCTCACCACTGTCACCCCCATTTAGTTCCACGAATCTTTGTGTCTCTGCCTGCATTCAGTGACAGGGACACATTACAGCAGTAGCTGGTATCCATTCCTTGGAGATGAAAGATCACGTTTGAATCCTTCATGTTTTCCAGTGTCTGAAAAGTTAGCTCACTTAGTACTTCAGTGAGCTTTAAAATGATCGCTAGGTTATTATATCAGAAAGATTCTATCCTTCGGCCATATGTGTAAACAAAAGTGCCTGTGGGAGTAGTGCATTGTACTATCAGTATAACTCAATGATATCAGAATACATGGAGTGGGAAAATAAGATTCACTGATACCAGGTCCCCTAATCCAGACATAAGCAAGTACCACAACAATGGAAAGACAGGAGTTCCTCTAGACATATTTAGTAACCTAAAGCTCTGGAGCTTCCTAAGTCTACTAGGAAATGAAGAGGCAGACAAACTTAGTCAACTACATGCCTGGACTTCCTGTATAAAAAATTTAAGTTATGATTTGCTATATAGACACACCTTTCAATACCTACTATTTTGCACGGAATGCTTTAACCTACACAAACTACAAAGACAGCATGTAGACTACTGTGCTGGTTTAAGCCCTGATGGGACCGGAGAGCACGTTGCTGTTGCCCCTCCCCCACCCTCAGCCAGTCAGGCTGGAAGTTAGGCACAAACCCGGGCTAAAATAAGAAGAAATTTAAAACAACAGTGTGATAAAACAATCTGAACAACAACAGTAGCAATGATAACAACAATAAACAGCAATAACAGTGAACAAGAGAAACGATAGACAGAGAAATACCACAAAATGGTCAGGGAACAAACCCGCAGCATATGTGTGTCACAACCCGAAAATGTAACGAGAAAGTAAAAAGAGGTTCTGCCCCTGGACCCGACGTCAACATGGTATGAATAACCTGGCTTGAGATCCCTTCCCCCTCTCTCTCTGCTGGGGAAAACTTGACCCTATCCTAGCGGAACCAGGACACAATCCACCCCTTTATTCTATACCATCTGTGTCATGTCCAGCTGCCATATAGCAGTTAACAAGAACAAAACAATAATTTACAAAGGCACAGCATAATTCTGGGCATGTTCTAACCCAGAATCAAGTCCCCCTGTGGTACACATTAGACCTCTCCATTGTCCAGCATCACCCACCAGGAACACCCAGGTCCTTGGGCAAAAGCAATCCCATGGATGGGTTTGCCTTTACCTTTGCCTGGTGCAGGACTAAACCAGACCATTTTTCCCAATATATTCCTCACGTGCACCACAAGGACTTCATCCCCATCTACAGCACGTGGAGGTTTTGACTGAGCCAGGCCAGCTCGACTGGCAGATCCTCTTGTGTTGACTGACAAGGTGGCATTTGCTAGATGCATGTGCCAGTTTTTGAAGGTCCCACCTCCCAGTGCTTTCAATGTGGCTTTTAACAGTCCATTGTAGTGCTCGATCTTCCCAGGGGCTGCTGCATGGTAGGGGATATGGTAGACCCACTCGATGTCGTGTTCTTCTGCCCAGGCAACTATGAGGTTGTTTCGGAAGTGGGTCCCGTTGTCTGACTCCATTCTCTCTGGAGAGCCGTGTTGCCACAGGACTTGGGTTTCAAGGCCCAAGATGGTGTTTCATGCGGTGCCGTGGGGTGCTGGGTAAGCTTCCAGCCATCTGGTGGTTACTTCCACCATTGTGAGCACGTGGTGCTTGCTTTGGCGGGCCTGTGTCAGTGTGATGTAGTCGATCTGCCAGGCAGCTCCACATCTATATTTCAGCCATCGCTCTCCATTTCGCTGGTGCTTCATCCACTTGGCATGTTTGATTGTAGCACATGTCTCACATACATGGATGATCTCTGCAATGGTGTCAAGAGTAAAGTCCACCCCTCGATCTCTAGCCCACCGGTATGTTGCATCTCTACTTTGGTGGCCCGAGGTCTCATGGGTCCACCAAGCTATGAACAGTTCACATTTCCGCTGCCAGTCCAAGACCACCTTAGCCACTCTAATCTTAGCAGCTTGGTCTACCTACTAGTTGTGTCGATGTTCATCAGTGGCCTGACTCTTGGGTACATCAGCATCCACATGACGCACCTTCACGGCAAGGTTTTCAACATGGGCTGCAATGCCCTGCCATACTTCAGCAGTCCAGACGGTTTTACCATTACGTTGCCAGTTGTTCTGCTTCCATTGCTGCAACCATTTCCACAGGGCATTCTCCACTGCCCATGAGTCGGTGTAGAGGCAGAGCCTTGGCCACTTTTCCTGCTCAGCAATATCCAAAGCAAGCTGGACAGCTTTCACCTCTTAAACTTGCTTGATTCACCCTGTCCCTCAGCAGCTGCAGCGACCCGTCGTGTGGGACTCCATACAGCAGCCTTCCATTGTCAATATTTTCCCACGTACGACAAGACCCATCAGTGAACAGGGCATATCCCTTCTCCTCATCCGGCAGCTCGTTATATGGTGGGGACTCCTTAGCACGTGTCACCTCCTGCTCTGGTGACATCCCAGCGTCTTTGCTCTCCGGCCAGTTCGTAATCACCTCTAGTATCCCTGGGCGGCTGGGGTTCCCTATTGGAGCCCACTGTATTATCAAGGCAATCCTTTAACTCCACGTGGCATCGGTTGCATGATGTGTGGAGGAGGCCTTTCCTTTGAACATCCACCCCAGCTCCAGCAGTTGGGGTGCCAGAAGGAGCTGTGTTTCAGTGTCGACCACTTCTGAGGCAGACCGAACTCCTTTGTATGCTGCCATTATCTCCTTCTCAGTTGGTGTATAATTAGCTTCAAAACCTTTCTATCCCTGGCTCCAAGAATGAAGAGGTTCACCTCGGGTTTCCCCAGGTGCTCTCTGCCAGAGGCTCCATGTAGGGCCATTCTCCCCAGCTGCGGTGTAGAGCATGTTCTTAATCTCCTGCCTTTCCTGGACTGGCCCAAAGGCTACTGCTTGGGCAATCTTCCGTTTAATCTGTTCAAAGGATTGTTGTTGCTCAGGGCCCGATTCAAAATCGTTCTTCTAACTGGTTATGTGGTAGAGGGCTTACAATCAGGCTGTAGTTCGGGATGTGCATCCTCCAGAATCCCACAGCACCCAGGAAAGACTGAGTCTCCTTTTTAGAGGTTGGTGAGGCCATGGCTGTTATCTTGTTTATCATCTCCATTGGGATGTAGCGACACCCACCTTGCCACTTTATCCCTAGGAACTGAATTTCCCTTGCAAGCCCCTGTGAGAGCCCAGAAACCAGGCCTGTGAAAAACTAAGACAAACAGCCTGGGAAAGCAAAAGTTGCGGCTGATTGAAGATATGCCTCAAACACTCCCAAGACAAAACCATGAGTCACAGGGTGCTTTCTGTGGAGGCCGAAGCTGATAAGGCTGCTCGATGTATCTGGGGGAGAGAGCCCTATGGAGATAGGATGGCTCTTCTCTGGCGCACCTGGGCAAATTTCAAGGGCCATGTGTCCGGTGAATGA